GCTTATTGGTGAGGTTGGGGAGTAGTTGTTTGGTTTGGGTATTTTGTTTTATGGGTTTAACCATTTTATGTCAGTCCATGGAAAATCAACACTTTCCTCCTGTTGCTTATTGTTCTAGTTAGGGTTATAATTGCTATGATGAAATACCATGACCCAAAGCAAGCAGGGGAGGAAAAGGTTTAATTGGTTTACACTTCCATGTTGCTGTTAATCCCTGAAGGAAGTCAGGAACTCAAACAAGATAGAATCCTGTAGACAAGAACTTAGGCAGAGGCCATGGAGGGGTGCTGCTTGTCGGCCTGCTTTCTTATAGAACTCAGGACCACCAGGCCAAGGATGGCACCACCCACAATGGGCTACCGCCACCCATCACTAATTAAGAAAATGCCCTGTAGCTTATGGAGGCATTTTCTAAGTTGAGGACAAGCTTGTGTCAAGTTGTGTCAAACTTAACCAGCACAGTTGTTTAACCCTGATCCCTGCTTACAGGGTCTATGGCCTGACCATCCATCCCTGTACAACTCAGACACCAAGATGCTAACATCCAGGCCTCAAGATCTAGACCCCACTTGGGCATCTATGACACCTGTTCTAAACTTGCTTTGGTATTCAGTTCCCTTCTTTGGGTTCTGACACTTGGTTTTTCCTCACTTATTTTTGAGATTGGCTCTATGTCTAAGATGTTATAATTGCTGATTTTCTTACACTTTCTTTCCCCTGTCCCTTCCATTCTCTCTTTGTTATTTTCTTTCCTTTCTACTATATTCTCTGCTGTTTGAAATTTGGACTTTTATGTCTTCTTCCTGAAATCTCTCAATTAATCTTTAACTTAACACAGCTTAATGTTGGAGAGTATTTTTACTTCCCTTTCAAATAATGTAAGAATTTTAGATTGCTTTCTCCTGTCTTTCCTTTTTGCTTTTTTAAAGACAGAGGAATGATATGAAATTTCTGATCTTCCCACCTCTGCCTCCTGAGTGCTGAGATTACAGATGAATGCCAGACCTGGCTCCACTCTTCCTTTTTAAATATGATTGCTATGCAGTTCAGGCCTTTTAAGCCCATAACTTTCTAAACACTGCAAACATAGGATGACAAGGCCCTGAGATAAGTCCCTGTCCCCAGGGATGGGTGTGTGTGTGTGTGTGTGTGTGTGTGTGTGTGTGTGTGTATTCTTTCTTGCATTCCAGCTGTCTTTGGGAGAGAAGGCTAACTTTAAAATACCTTGCTGTGGGGCTGAAGACATGGTTCGGCAGTTAGAAAAGCTTGGTGTTCTTCCAGAAGACCTGAGTTTAGTTCCCAACACTCACATTGTCAAGTAGTTCCAAGTCACCTCCAGAGAATCCCATGTTTTCTTCTGGGCTTGTGGGAACCTGCACAGACATGACACACAAATACACATGTACATATAAACATAACTAAATCTTCTTTAAAAATATTGTCCTATAAGGCAAGTTTGTTTGTTTATTGGGGGGTGTGCTCAATACACAGATTCTCTGTGTAACAGTCCTGGCTGTCCTGGAACTCACTTTGTAGACAAAGCTGGCCTTGAACTCACAGAGACCTGCCTGCCTCTGCCTTCTGAGTGCTGGGATTAAAAGTGTGTGCCATCATGCCTGTCAGGGCAAGTTTTAAGAACAGTAAACTTTGTTAGATTTTGCTTCCATATAAACATCCATATTTGGCCCCATGTATTTGTTTCTTTCTTTCACTCTTTTTGTTTTGTTTTGTTTTTTATTTGTTTGTTTTTCAAAACAGGGTTTCTCTGTGTAGTCTTAGCTCTCCTGGAACTCACTTTGTAGACCAGGCTGGCCTCAAACTCAGATCCGCCTGCCTCTACCTCCCAAGTGCTGGGATTAAAGGTGTGTTCTGCCACTGCCTGGCAATATATTATCATAGTCTTTTAAAAAAATGTTTTATGTGTATTTTGTCTACATGCACCATGTGCATTCTAAGTACCCAGAGAAGTCAGAAAAGACTGTCAAATCTCTGGGACCAGAGTTAGAGTTAGCTACTGTGTGAGCCACTCTGTAAGCTACTGTGTAAGCCACTGTGTGAGCCACTGTGTGAGCCATGTGGGTGCTGGGAATTGAACCCAGGTCCTTTGGAAGAACAGCCAGTGAGTGGTCTTAACCACTCAGCCACTTCTCCAGCCCCTGGCCCCATTTCTTAAAGAACTTGTCCCAAGAGTAGGGTTTCTTATGCTAACAGTTATTTTCTCTCAACACTTTGATAATATTTCCCTTATAATTCTGATTTCAATTGTTACTGGTGAATCTTTTATTATTTTGTTTTAAGTTAAGTGCCAGAGTGCGTGCGTGTGTGTGTGTGTGTGTGTGAGTGAGTGTGTGTGTGTGTGTGTGTGTGTGTGTGTGTGTGTGTGTGTGTGTATGTATGCTACAGCACTTGTGTGGAGGACAACTTTGAGGAACCAATTCTCTCTCCTCCTACTTTTACCTGGGTTCTAGAGATGAAACATAAATTCAGACCTGCCCTGCAAAAACCTTTACTGCTAAACTGTCTTGTCTGCCCCAGTTCATTCTTGTAAATGAGCAGTCCTTTCTCTGGTTTCACTAAATATGTCCCTTTGTCTTTGGCATCTTTAGTGAATTTAGCATAGATGTGTTTTTATTACCTAATCCAGGCCTGAGTCTAAGTAATATTAAACCTGCTAGATTTATGAATCCGTGATTTCTTCTCAGTTTTGGCAAGTTCATATGTATTATTTCTTAATTGTTGCCTCTGTTTCTGTCTTTTCTCCTTGAAGATCTTCATTTAGATCTATGTTAATCTTCCCCTCCTATTCCACAGGTCTCATAACTTTATGTTTGCACATTACCATCTCCATGGCATCACTTTATTTGTATGACTGGCTGGTTGGCTCATTTTCTTTCTACTTCCTTCTATGTTGCTAAAAAGGAATCTGTGGCTGGGCACACGCCTTTAATCCCAGCACTCGGGAGGCAGAGGCAGAGGCAGAGGCAGAGGCAGAGGCAGAGGATCTCTGTGAGTTCAAGACCAGCCTGGTCTACAAGAGCTAGTTCCAGGACAGGCTCCAAAGCCACAGAGAAACCCTGTCTTGAAAAACCAATAAATAAATAAATAAATAAATAAATAAATAAATAAATAAATATAAAAAATGAAAAAGGGGGGTGGGGAGAATCTGTGATGGTTTAATGAGAATGTCCCCATAATCTCGTATGTTTAAATACTTGGTCCCCAGCAAGGACTAAGAGGTATGGCCCTTGTTGGAGAAGGTGTGTTACTGGGGGTGGTTATCTCTTTCTGCTTCCTACTTAAGAATAAGGATGTAAGGTCTCAGCTGCTCTCCCAGCATCATGCCTGCTGCCTGCTGCCTTCTTCCTGCCTGCTGCCTGCTGTCTTCTGTCTGCCTGCTGCCTGCTGCCTGCTGCCTGCCTACTGCCTCCTGCCTTCTTCCTGCCTGCTGCCTCCTGCCTTCTTCCTGCCTGCTGGCTGCCTGCTGGCTGCTGCCTGCTGGCTGCTGTCCACTGCCTCCTGCCCTCTGCCCCCCGCCTCTCTCCTCCCACCCCTCTCCC